CGCAAAATCATTTTTTTGGTTGATTTTTCTTTGTTAAATGGCATTTAAATATATAAAAAATAAATATCAAAAATATAAGTCTTTGTTTTACTATGGTTGCAAATATCAAAAAATTTCTATATGTGACACGGCACCAGAGTTAAGTTAGGGTTTTTCAAAATGCTGACATGCTGAGCTCAAAAGGTAAGCCATCACTGCCTAGCCTATGGTGCCACTCCTACATAAAGACTGGGAACTCAAGGTAGCATGATCTGAATATCAAATACAAACAATGGCCATTTGCAAAAACTCTAACTTGGAATTTCAAGGCCCCGTGACGCCCCTGGTGCTCCTGCCTGCTGTCTCACAGTGTTGTATTCACACGGCAAACTGGCATCCAGCAGATGAGTAAGTTCTGGAGATCTAGCACATAGAGTAGTGATTTCAGTCAACAATACTGGACTATAAACTTCAAAGTTGCTAGGTGACTAGATTATAATCATTCTCACAGCGAAAAAGAAATAATAATTAGGTGACAATTATTGCAGTATATCAGTGGTTCTCAACCTTCTGGCCCTTTAAATAGAGTTCCTCATGTTGTGACCCAACCATAAAATTATTTTCGTTGCTACTTCATAACTGTAATGTTGCTACTGTTATGAATCGTAACGTAAATATCTGATATGCAGGATGGTCTTAGGCGACCCCTGTGAAAGGGTCATTGGACAGCCAAAGGGGTCGCGACCCACAGGTTGAGAACCGCTGCAGTATATAAATGTATCAAACCAACATGTTTACACCTTAAACTTGCACTATGTTATATGTCAACTATAAAGAAAGAAGAAAGGAAGAAAGGGAGAGAAAGAAAAGAAAAGAAAAGAAAAGAGAAGAGAAGAGAAGAGAAGAGAAGAGAAGAGAAGAGAAGAGAAGAGAAAAGAAAAGAAAAGAAAAGAAAAAAAAGAAAAGAAAAGAAAAGAAAAGAAAAAAGAAAACCAACTAAGAGAACAAACAAAAAAACAGCTGCCCTGCCCAGGTTCACCAGGCACCCCCACTCAGAGGCAGGAAAGGACTGCTTGTGCGCCTGCATGTGCCCAAGGCACACACACGGGAATAAAGACTCACATGTAAAGAAAAGATATACAATGTCCTTAAAAGCACGAGGGTGGCCCGTTTACCAAGTCAGAGGCTCATAGACTATAAACAGGATGTTTTGCTCAGTGTTTTATCAGAAGCATAAATACAAAAGAACAAGGTCTTCTCTCTTGTGGCAAAGCTGCCTTGACTTGGGGACATTTAATATGTAAACAGAAACCAGGTAAGGCAAAAATCAAACAGTTGGCAACAAGAAAGAGAACCCTGTTTACGGTTTACTAATGACGATGGTGAAGTGCTGCTTCTTGCCCTCCCATCCCCACCTTACTCCTCAAACGGAAATTCTGTTCTTTATTGTCCTGAAACTACCTGGAAAGTATTAACAAACTCTAAATCCTCCCCCCTCCCAACAGAATATGATTAAGATTGTTATTAACATAGTTTCAGATACACAAGTCTCCACCAATGAGAATGTTAATATGTTAGCTGCAAACTGTTTTGTTTGGAAAGAGGAAACCCTGCCAGTGGTCTTCAGGAAAAGCACAGAATCGTTTAATAAATTCAGGAAAAGAACAGAATCCATTTAATAAATTACGCATTCGGAGAGACTTTGGGTCTTGTGACATTCCCAGAATAGTTTGTCCATATTTTTCTAATCAGTCAGTATATTTCGTCAAAACATCTGGTGGAACAAATTAAACTCTTACCATCTTTCAAATAGTGAGTGGTTATGGTTAACTAACTTCTTTCCTGACCATGTGTCATTCAGAGAGCTAGGGGTGGAGACACAGGAACGGAGTAGCTGTGTCCTGCACCAAGGACCTCGGACAAGTGTGGAGGGGCCCACACTCCTGCCTGCATCCAGTCCTCAAGCCTGTGTCGGGCTTGGGCCCCTGCTGCCACCGGAAGAAGCACCTTTTCCTTCTCACAGAGAACTGAGAGTGCGAAGGGGAAAAGGTTCTGCTCAGGATGTGTGGCTTGGTCTGGCTTTCATGAGCTTGTTTCTAACAAGCCAAGGCCCAGGGCTGCAGCAGTGAGGGGTGGTGGAGGAGGAGCTTTCTGTAATTCACCCCCGGTCAGTCTCAGGCTTGCTCCTGCTCTGTGGATGGGGATGGGCAGCATATATGCACGTATACATATGGGTCAGCCAAGCTTGAACAGGTGCTAACATCCCCCTCAGGGGAAACGGTGATGAAAAAGCATGGTGTAAGGTGTTGTGAAAGGTCACGTCTGTAACACTATCATGAAGGATAAACATAACCCTGTGTCTTAAATACTGACTGAGGTTGGCACGGGCAAGGAAGCTGCTGTAATATGTAAATATTACAGAATAGGCCATTGAACACAGGAGCATTTACTGAGTTACTACTGATATATGCATTGTTTCCTGAGTTCTTCTGGGACCCACCAATGAACTTGCATCAAATGATTATGTACTGCCGGGCTGGTATGGCTCAGGGGTTGAGCATCGACCTATGAACCACGAGGTCACAGTTAGATTCCCAGTCAGGGCACATGCCCAGTTTGCAGGCTCAGTCCCCAGTAGGGGGTATGCAGGAGGCAGCTGATCAATGATTTTCTCTCATCGTTGATGTTTATCTCTCTCTCCCTCTCCCTTCCTCTCTGAAATCAATAAACATATTTTTAAAAAATGATTATGTACTGCTATCCCTGTGAAAAATACCATGTTGATTGCAACCCACAAATATGTCAAGCAAGTTCTTTCGATTTGGTAGGCATAAAAGGGAATTTTAATATCCTCTCAAATGATTTAATGCTAGTATCTACCATGTTTCTCTCTCCTTTCAGTTTCACTGTTAGGATATTTATAAGGTCCAAACTTATTTCTCCTCCAATACCCTGTGGAAATTTGCCTAAGGGGGTTGATTCTACATTCACTGGGAATTTAAGAGGTGTGCCTCCCTTTCCATATTCCACCACCTCCAGCATCTAGAGATAAGTTTAGCTCACCTTATGCCCTGGGGCTGTACCAGGCTCCATTTCCCTCCTTTCAAATCCTCCACACACTGGAGGAGCCTGTGTCTCCAGGTACCCAGTCCTGCTTACCTCCAATCCATTTTCCGCATTGCAGTCAAAGTTCTCTCCTCAGAATGGAAATTTAGTGAGCTCACTTCCCCAATCAAAGCCTTGCTCCTTTCGTGAACTCCCCAGCACAGCTTGCCAGGGCCCACATCATCACATCCTGGGACTCCATACATTCTTCAGCT